TCATTGGGATGGCGTTGTTGCGTCATCGGGATGGCGTTACCACATCACTGGGATGGTGTTATTGCATCATCGGTATGGTGTTACCACGTCACTGGCATGGTGTTGTTGCATCATTGGGATGGCGTTACCGCGTCACCGGGATGGTGTTGTTGCGTCATCGGGATGGCGTTACCGCGTCACCGGGATGGTGTTGTTGCGTCATCGGGATGGCATTACCGTGTCACTGGGATGGTGTTATTGCATCATCGGGATGGTGTTGCGTCATTGGGATGGCATTACTGCGTCACTGGGATGGTGTTACTGCATCATCGGGATGGCGTTACTGCGTCACTGGGATGGCGTTGCGTCATTGGGATGGCGTTACTGTGTCACCGGGATGGCGTTGTGTCATTGGGATGGCGTTACCGCATCATTGGAATCGTGTTACTGCATCATCGGGATCATGTTATTGTTATTGGGATCACATTACTGTGTTACTAGGATGGCATTACTGTGCCATTGGGACGGTGTTACTGCATCATTGGGATAGCATTGCTGCATCATTAGGATGGCATTATTGTGTCATTGGGATCTGTTATTGTGGCCACATTTTGGAATAGGAAGAAAGCGGGGTGGGGGAGATGATGGCTCATTTTGAGAAATCAGAATCACTATAAAATTTAACGTAACTGAGATTGTTGACTCTGCTGGGGCAGCATCAGATGCTGGAAACTGCAAGTGTTGATAAGTGAGGTAGACAGTTCCTGTCTACAGGAGATTTTCAGGGTAACAAGCAAAATAAGACAGAAACGAATTGTTGTAACACAAAGCAGATAACGCTCCTGAAAACCAGCGGAGTGCTGTGGGGACTCAGGGAGACTCGCTCGAGGAAGCAGCAGCTGGAGGGAAGTCTCAAAGCCAAAGATCTGGGAGGTGGACAAACAGTAGTGGGGCAGGGAGAGCGAGTCTGAGCGTGGAAACAAGGGCAGAGCCTTGAAGGTGGGCCAGGGGCACAGTGGGGTGCTCTCAGAGAGAAAGCAGGAGGCAAGGAAGGAAGGGGAGGTGCAGAGGGTTCCCGTTGGATGGAGGGGTCAGTTCTGTCGGGAGGGAAAGTGGGGCTGCTCCATCTGCCCTGGAGGCCCAGGGAGCACTCCCCATGTGCAGCCACAGAGGCTCCCCGCTCAGGCTGGTGGCTGGAGGGCTTCTCTGGGCCCTCTGTGTCCCATGGACACTGGAGAATACGCCCACTGTGACCCAGACGGATGTCTCGCCTGTGCCGTGAGCATCTCGATCCTGACCTCCTGTGTTCCCGACCTCCAGTTCTAGCCTTTGGCTCCCAGCCTGAAAGACAATGAATTTCCCTGAGGTGACTCTGGCTAAGGCTAGAGAATTGGCCTAAACAGAAAACAACTTTTGTTGTAGCAGATACTTTTCTGGGGCCCTGAGCATTAAGTCTTAGGACTGGTCCGATGTAAGTGTTTCCAGGGGATTTTGAGTCGAGGAGCATCCAGCGGGCCACACGTGCGGAACAAGCTCTCTGCTCACTTGAGATCTGCTTGGACAAGGTTCACAGCCACTCGCCTCACTGCTCAGACGCTCGGCTAACCCAGCCTTGTGCAGAAATGGTCTTCACGCCTCATACAACCTTCTCTCCTGCTCTTGACTCATAAGATACTGGGAGCCAACATAGAACATCTCGGCTGTC